TTCAATTTGTTGAATAAAGTTGTTGATATCCAAAGAAATCACTGTTTAATTGTGATTGTAAACAATATTAAAAATAATTAAAATGTTAAAATAAAACGTCCTAATTTATTTATTTATTAAAAAAAATTACCTCTTTGAAAAACATTTTCATTTATTTCGAATCCAATTTTTTCTGTTTTATATACTGTGTCTTGATATTATTAAAAAAAAAATTAACACAAATGCCGTGATGAAGGGATATACCTTGACATGCATACGTACCTTTAATAGTTTCAAATTGTTCCACACCCAGTGCGCCTGGCGCATTTGCTAGGAAACGTTGCAAATATTTTAAAATAAATTAATCGTCTAACAAACAAATTATTTAGTTGAAAATTACTATTACTGAATTACCTGCTATTGTTAATCTCATTCTAGAAATTGTAAATCTTAATAGATTACTTGTGTATATAACGTTTGGATTTGTCTCTTCAAAAAGCCCCAAGCATTCGTCCGTTAATTCAAACTTAACAGGATGATAATGCTTATAATACCAATCAGAAGTTGTTTTACAGCACAATTCCTCAGCGGATGGTCGTTTGTCAGGATTAAATTCCAAGCATCGTTTCATGAGTTGTGCATATTGGACTGGTATATTTTCGCTTATATGTGGCTGTACGCCATCGCAAATGTCAATTGCTAAATTTTCATCATGTTCTCTATTTGCAAAAGGTTGTCTTCCGGTAGACAATAGCCACATGAGCATACCAAAACTATAAATGTCTGCAGCCTTAGTGTATGGTCGTCCACATATAATTTCTGGAGCCATATATGGAAGAACACCGTACACTTGAATCATGTCATCTTTGACATCTATTGGCCTAGAGAAACCAAGATCACTGAAGTAAAAGTGCTGATTATTTGATTTATCTTGTTGTTTTACTAACAAATTTCCACTATGCAAAGCGCCATGCACTAGACCCTTCATATGTATTTGTTGTAATCCACTTATAATGAAATTAAGTATTTCTAATTTCTTCTCCCAAGTTAAGGTAATATAGTTATTTACAAGGTATTTATGAAGGTTACCTTGGTTAGCGTATTCCATGACAATAATGTAGTTATTAGTAGCAGGATTTTTTGAAAGTCCAAAGTATCTAATGACATGTGGAGATTTTTTACTAGCTTTTATAATAGACATGATCTAACAGCAAGATAATTTAAAATGTCATTCAAAAGACTAACAATATAGACACAGTAAATCTGCAAAGCTTTAAACATACCTCTGACGAACTATTATCCCTTCGAGAACAAAGTTCTTTTAAAGCAACGCGTACTGGACCCATCCTCTTCAAAATATATTTTTTTCCTATATCCCTCAAATTCATAGCACATCGATATCGTAAAGGAGGACCATCACTCCATAAAGCTTCAGAAACTTTTCCGGATCCACTCTTAGCGATCTCTTTTATGTCACTAAATTTTTCAAAAGGAATCCATTCAATAATCTGATCGCAATTTTTAGCGCTTGATTGAATTCTTTGAATAAATTTATCTAGCTCGAAATCACCACTTTTCCATTCTAGGGATTTTGGACGTAGACGAGTGGATCCACATAGTTGACACCATTTATTAAAGAATGACTGATTACATTCTGGGCACGATGTCGAGGATTTGTGGTCTACATTATGTGAATCCGTTTTTTGATCATGCGAATCTGTTTTTTGAGCATTTTTACATTTCTGAAAGATCCTTTTCCTTAAGTCGATATGATTTCCGGAGTACGAGATATTTGGTGAAACACTCATGGTAAAAACGATTTTAGAAATTTAAACGTTATCGACGCGACTTTTGGTCAGAACTTAATGATACACATTAAGCGCTGTCATATAAATGACAGCTGCGTCAAATATGATAAAAGAATGTGTTAATTTAAACAATCCAAGTGAAAGAAAACATACAATTTGTTGCTTTTATATAGTCCAAATATCTCAAAGTTCAAAACTACACAAAACGAACCAATTGTTATATATCAGAGATGTGTATATATGCGAAGTAAAAATTATTCAAATTGTAATGTTACATTATGGTTTCTTCAACATATCATTCATATAAAATTTTTAGGTTGCTTTTTTTAAAAAGCTTGAAGGGTTAACACAAACAAAAACACAAGTATCCAAAAGCATTAATTTAGCCACAAAGTTTAAATACGTAGCAGCATAACTATAACTTATTTACCAACTTTTAAAACGGTTTATGTAGTTCCTTTATGCTGGTAAACATTAGTTTTACAGGATGTGCAACACGAAATCTGTTAGTCTACCGGAGCGCATTCTTAATTTAAACGTTCTTTGTCATTAAAGAAAGAAAATCTAGCAAATATGTACATACATAGGTATTCTTGTGTTGATTCAAACCCTTTAAAAGAGTACATGTTACAATCAGGCCTTTTACGGGTTAAAAAGGATAATTTATAGTGCATCAAACGTGCGTACATGGGTTGAAGAAATCATGCGCGAGTTTTAAGCAAGATTTTATTTAAAATACAATTTATTTCTCCAAACGCACATTTCTCGAGACAATGGTACTATTCTGTGATATATTGTTGTTTTACAAGCGATAGAATTGGGCCTAGATTAAATTTAAGATCCAATTTCTTTTGATTGGTCTGGTGAAATGTTAAAAATAGTGCTTTATTAAAAGAACGTTTCGCATGAATTATATTGTGTGGTTTTAACCCAATTTCTGACTTGTTCTGTTACACATCAAAAAATTCTTTTTATACTAAAATCTTATCGCAAATTAACCCATGTGCGAAACATCAACTGACTTGCTCCACTATCAAAAAAATTTTCGGAAATTAGCCCATATGTCATAGAAAGACTTTTATATGATTGGCTGTCTAAATAAATTTAATTTTACATTTTTCATACAGTTTAAAGTACTTTAAAAAAAAAAATAAAACCACAAAGAATAAATAAAAAAAGATTTTTTTTAGGGTTGTAGGACTTTACAATTAAAAATAATCAAAATCACCTTTTATTTTAATGGCATGCCAGGGTGGCATCTCAGCACAAATTTAAATAGTTGGCATGCCATATGGCACGTTAAATTTTTGCTATGCCAGGCACCCTAACCATATGGCATGCCATGTGCCAAAAAAAAAAGATTATAGAGAAGTTAGGAAGATAATAACCTAATTCTATCTATTTTTTAGAATTCGTTATTATGCTAACTTCTCTAAAACAAAGAGGGATTTTTAATAGTGAAGTCCTACAAACCTAATAAAAATTTCTATATATTTTTTTTATTTATTATTTGTAGTTTTATTTTTTTAAAAAGTACTTTAAACTGTATATAAGTAATATAAAATTAAATTGATTAAAACAGCCAATTATATGTAAGACTTTCTATGAGCCCATATGCGCTGTAAAATAATAAACTGATTATACAAAATATGCATTTAAAGGAATAACGCGTATGCATTTGTAGTATTTATTATTCTAGATTTATATGTACGTACGTACTGTACATCTTGTAAGTGGAAACGAAATTTAAGTGGATTTGAAATTCTTAGGTTTTTAAGGTTAGTTAATATAAAATTAATTCTACTCTAAACTTATAATTTTATACAAATCTATTTGTCACCGGCGGTAATACGGCAGTGTTCAAACAGGCCATGCATGGCCCGCGTGCTACACGGGTAATGGGCGGCGGTCCTGGCCTGCTAAATACTGTAGTATATCATCTTTAAAGTAGCGATAGTTATTGTTGTTATTAAATTATATATTTTGTGAGGCAAATATGAGTGCTGCAGAGCAAAAACTTGTAACTGAACATAGTAAATCATTATGATTAGTTACAGGTTTTGCTCTGCAGCGCTCATATATATAAGGGAAGGTCGGGTATTATGGCGCGGAGGGTATTGTAGCGCACTTGCGTGTTTGATGACCTAAAAAAAGTCCTAATAATGATAATATTAAAGATATTTTCAGTAGGCTTGTAAATAGATTTTACCTATTTTTATAGAAACATGTTACATAATACGAAATATTAAAATAAGCATTAATGTGTTAGTTTGTATTAATAATAAAATATCCGTATCTTAATATGAGCGGTGATTTTTTTTTTTAAAAAAAAAAGACATTATATCAAATTGTGGCAAAACACTGTATTAATGCGTTAACGTCTTTAGGTTAACTTTACCAATTGAAGTATATTTTAGAATCCGTATAACAATAAATTATAATATGCGTTTGTTTTTTTAGAAAAGCAATATTTATACTTTCTCTAAATTAATTTTATTCCTTCTATTTTTTAAAACCTCAAATACAGCCATGCTAATGGAAGAGGAAGGGACTGCCCACAAAATTCTAGAACCCATTCCTTTTGCAAATGCTCTTAGACCACCTTCATATTTATACATATTTTTAATAATTTCCCTTGGAATGTTTTTTATAGAATGTAATTTACCAGTATTATCAATAGTGATATATTCATGTGAAGAAACCTGAGTTCTAGTTTTAACAATATCTAAAATGTTTGATACTGAAGCAGCTATCGCACATGAAAAGCCTGAATAGAGTAGATAACTTGAGAATGGTAAATCGATCGAAGTTGAACTCAACGATTCATTCTTCTTTAGATATTTGGCACGACCCCAAGCTTTACATTTTTCGTAAATTACGAAATAAGTAATTGAGTGAGGGATGAACACAGCCAATGTAATAAAATATCCTCTGTAAAAACCCCGTAAACCTTCCTCTTTAAAAATACGGTTTGAAATTTCAAGAGTATTAACATTGTTATTTCCAATGCCTATATATGAACTCGTAATCCTTTTACCAATCATATTCTTTTGAGATTCAAATTCATTTTTAATGATTTCTCGAGATTGGGAAGTTGTACCACTTGCTTGAAGTTTACTTTTAATAATTTCCATAGGTGTCCAAAATATTCCACTTATTATTTCTGCAAATGTACCACTCAAAATATGATTTAACATTCTGTCATCTTCTATGTTAAAGTTGGAGGATAAGTGGTACTTTGATGTGTCATAAACGAAGAGAAAAGTTGATAATGATGGGATACCAAGGATAGTAGAACTGGAAGCCCATTATATAAATTTTTGATAGGAGTTCTACAGATTACTTGAATCACTGGATTTTTTTGAATGGTAGACTTAAGAAAGTAATAGAAATGTTTGGCATTACCAGGTGAAAATTTAGTATTTGAGGTTAGAGAAGGATAAGAATAGGATGGCGTTGACAAAGTAGTTTGAGCAAGCACACGAATTGTGTCAACTTTTTATTAAAATAGATGACATTAGTAACAAAAAGGTTTTAATAAATTCTTAACACTTGAATCATAAAAGCGACGAACTTACGAGGGTGAGTAGTTAATCGTGCGACTATTGCCGCTGTACTTGAATCAATTATATTAATATTAGCTGTTTTTGTCATCACTTGTCCTGAATAAAGATTAGATTTACCAGTTTGATATCGATATGTGCAGTTACAATCAGTATTTAAAATTCAAATTTCTCAAAAAAGCAGATTTTGAATTTTAATGTTCTCAAGAATTTTTTATATGTTCTTAGAAAGTTAAAAATTTTTTTTAATCTATCTTCTATCTATACTATTAAAATTCTAATTTTTGTCGCACCATCCGCTTTATAATTAATCTGATTGGTCAATTTTAGCGCTTAGTCTTAAAATTTGGTTTATTTATGGTAATTGATATTCGTTGATTGGTCCTTTTTTGGTTTGAAGGTACTCTATATCCGCCAGTATTTTGCACATCGATATAGCTGCGCAAAAGTTCTCCTAAATGTAGCTTTTATTTTTAGGCAAATAATTTTTACATATGCTCCAGTCACGTTGCAAACTTCATTTGACAGAAGGAATAATTACAAAATTTCTCACTTGTATTTTATTGTATTGCGCATTACATTTCTAAAAAAACACGTAAATTTCTTTAAATGCTAGACCCTGCTTATAATTGCATTGTATATATTGCTTTCTATAAATGCGGTTTTTTTTTTTGATATAGTCTCAACGGAGAGCACTTAATGATACTTATTTCTCTATATACGTAATTCCTAAAAAAAAAAAGCGACCATCTAACAAACAAAAAATCCTTCGATCTTTAGGTTTTACGATCGCGAATAAATGCATATGTCAGAGGAAAAAATCTTAATTACAAAAATAATCAACAATATGCACTTTGTTAAAATAACTCAAAAATACTGTTTACCGCAGTTTGTATAATCCCCTGAATAATCCCTTGATAATAAATAATCTCACTTCATGAAAATCTAAAATTATATTATTACGTGTTATCTGTTCTTTTAAATATACGATTCGACGTATAACTTATACAGAAAAAAATAAAATAAAAATATTGTTATTAAATGATCATTACTGTAAACAAAAGATTCTGGATCTATTATTGGCCTTTTTTTGAATCAAATTATCTCTTAACTGTTTTTTATCAAAAGAACTATATAAAGATGCATATTTTTCAGTATCAATTAATTCAAAAGAATCAGAAAAAAATGAAAAAAATAAAAAAAGTAAAATTTTTTTAAAAAAACTATGATATCTATTTTTTGTGCTATATCTTATATCAAAACCATTTTAGAATTAGGTAAAATCTATAGCAGAAGTGCTGTATATAGAACTAAATCAAATAATTTTGTCAAATATGTATTTAAAGCTTTTAGGTTTAACAAAATAATATTAGTAAAAGTTACAAAAGGTATCATATTATTATTTATTTTTTTTTTATATCAATAATATTACTATCTGTCCTTGGTTCCTGGTGCCACAGTGTAGAATCTATGTTTTTTAGATCTGCAGTTCTCTAACTTCACATGACCCACAAGCTGGATTATCCTTTTATATAAATTTTTTTTTTTTTGGTTTTAAGGTGACCTCTTTGCTATACTGCTCTTTATTTGAATATTAGTAGTATTTTTAACTGTCAGAATATTCTGATGGCTGTACATATTTGTAGAGTACAATTAGTTATATCTGCACCTTCTGAGTGTCTATTTAAATATCTACCTATTACTAGGTTCTATATTAGATGCTGTACCTGCACCCCAACTAAGGAGATACTCATTTAAACCCAACTCTTTTATATCCAAGCAATGATACTTAGTATCACCTTATTTTCACATGCTGGCTTAGGACTTTAAAGTGGTTTCTATCATTTTAGAAAGTTCTTTAACTTTGAGGTAAACCTGCTAGAGCCTTTCATATCCATATTTAGGCTGACCTAGATTTTAGTAACTTATACCTAGTCCAAGAACAAGTACTTGCGAGCTGAAGCCGCTACTGTTACCTACTTCTGCCCTTATAAAGTTTACTTATACTCCAGCTCTGATATTTATCCAATCAGGAACCCTTCTACTGTTATACCAAACTTCTAATTCAGATAGCACAGTTTGATCTACAAGTTGTATTATCTACTTTCCTACTGGCTTAACTCAGATACCAGCCTGTGCTCTTTTCCTTCAGTCGATTTTAACAGTCTGGTTAGTATAGTGCTTACCAAACACCCAGTCTTCGTCCAGATCCACAGCTTATTAGTTCTTTTTTTAGACTTTCTAAAACTGTCAAAAGTATGTACTACCTCTCTACTCAGGACTTGCCAAGCAGGGTCCTATTTGGAACTAGTCTACCAGATTTACACAAGTCACAAGAACTTATCATAGATTTACACTACCTTTTATCAGTTTGTATCCCTTTATATAACTTCTCTATTACACAAATGCACCATGATCTTCTAAGTCTGTACTATCACCTCCGATAAGGCTTGCGAGATAAGCTGTCCATTAAGTGATCATTACCCTTGCATCTATTTGGTTCAACTGTTGTTACAGGATCTACATCCTAATACCCAAATAGTTATCATTATACAGAAGAATTTAATTTTTTGTCATTAGTGGAAATTGAACTCTGGATGTGCCACTTGGAGGGTAACAACTTGACCACTTTACTAAGTCATTACATTCTTCTTTTTAAATAATTCTTTAGCTAGTTTTCTCAATGTTAGTATTATTTGTTGACAGATTGCACCTTATTTAGTTATTCTTAGCCCTATAGCTATACTGATAGACTGCAACTTGTATAAATTTTGTTCGAATTTTATTCTTTTCTTTTAATAGAAAATCCTCTGAAAATTATATTTAATTGTAGTTCTGGCAAAGCTATTTATTATCTAATAGAACTTGAACTTATAACCTTGCAATTGTAACCTGGGAGTGCTAACTACTGCATTATCAATCTACAGATCTTGCAGCATATTATTGAAAATAAATTAATTTATTTTTGCTACAGAGAAACTAAATATAAAATATTAAATAATAAATATATATAAAGAGATTTATTTTATAGTACTATAATATTTTTTTTTTTTTTTTTTTAAGGTGAGGTTTTGCCTTTATCTTTATTTAATAAT